CACCCCACTGAGCCCCACTCTCCCTGCATCTGGACCCCTCACTGAGCCCCCCACACTCAGACCTCCCGCTAAGCTCTAGCTCCCCCCATATTCAGACCCACCCTGCTGAGCCCCAACCACCTTTGCCCCCCTGCAGAGTCCCATTACCATTGCACCCAGAACCACCCCCCCAACAAGCCCCTGTGCATCCAGATCCCCATTGGAGACGGATCCCCACAGAGCTTCCCACAGCCAGATTGCCCCACACAAAATCCTCTCAACCCACACCTGGATTCCCCCACACTAAGCCCCTCCAAACTTGGATCCTGCCTGCCCCACCTGGTGCATCTGGCATGGAGGGGCAGGGCCCTGGGGTGTTTCTGGGGCAGGCCTGGTCCTTGCACTGTGTCAGGGTGGGTGCAGCCTCACTGCTGAATTTGTGTCCCGGGAGAGGGGGAACTGCACAGTGATCTCCCACCTCTGTTTGGCCAGTGGCTTGTGCTGCCCAATGCCATGCTGAAGCCTCTACATTTATTTGACAAATAAAAGTTGCAGAATTTTGCAGAACTTTCAAATATTGTATGCAGAATTTTTATTTTTTTGGTGCAGAATACCCTCAGGAGCAGCACAGGTACTAAATAATCAAAGTCCCTGGCTAACCTCAGTTTGATAGCTGCTTCCCTAACACCTAGCCCAGGGCTCCTCAGTGCTACTACAATACAAAGGACAAAACTTGGTAAGTGAAACCTCTTTCACAACAGTTTAGTTCCTCCCCAGCCCCCATGGGGGCACCCGGGCGCTGCATTAGCTCTGCTAAGCCAGAAGGGTGTTGCCAGCCTTCCCATTTTGAACAGAGACTGTGGGCACAATTAAAAGCTGTACTCACCTGACTGTCCCAAGGCTCAGAAGCAATGGCATATGCAGGCCTGGCCAGCCCAGGGACACACATTGCTAGAGAGCAAGAAGATTTTGCTGCAGATGTTCTGCTGCAATCTTTGCACATTCCTCCTCACCTGCACTTGTGCTTTCCACTGGCTTTGTTCCAAGCCACCCCGGAGTATTTCATTTCCGGCATGGCAGGTGTTTGGCGGGGAGTAACTCAGCGCCCTTCACACACAGGAGGAGTTGTGGATGTAGCTCTCTCCTGAGCATTGCTCCCACATTTTCTCTGACCAAGGCAGAGATTTCCCATTGGACACAAGCTTAGGGACATTTTTTCCATTCGTGACCAAATGCTCTGCCTATTTTCCTGAGTGGCAGACAACTAGCGCCGCAGGTAAAGCCCCGGAGAGGGAGCCCAGCCAGCCACATCTTACCAATTCAGCCCAGGGAAGGCTGCCCTTAAGCCTGTGGTAGTGAAGTGGGGCTTAGGCTCTGTGCTGACCCCTCTGCTTCAGGGAATAAAGCACAGAGCAGGTTTGGTGCGAGGAAGCTGGGACACAGGGGTCAAGCCCATCCCCCATAGGACTCCACCGGCTGCAGGTGGTGACACCAGGGCTGAGTTCAGAGTGCCATCCAACTGGCTTACAGCTCAGGCAGCTCGGCTGGCACAGCTGCTGGTTTAAAAGCATCCTTGTCTCTGACTCTCATTGCCCATAAATTTGGCAAAAGGTTGCGCTTAAGCAGTTAGCACAAGGCTTTGAGCACAGCTAGATGGCCCACCAGTCACCCTGACTTTTGGGGAACCGGGATTCTGGGAAAGGTACGTTTAAGGGGTAGTTTGTGCCAGGGAACCTCAACACCATGGAACTGATACTAGGCTTGGATATTTTAGGATAAAATGTTGGCAAATGCTTAACTGCAAACTTGCATTGACAACGAATTGACATATATGGTAATAAGCCAAAATCATTCATATATATGTACTGACCTATAGGCTAAGGGCACCTCTAGATTTAGGGTGAGGAAGATAGAGATGAACCAGGGAGGCTGGGCACTTGAGTGACTACTCATGACAGCCCTAGGTCCTAGAACAGGCCAGACCACCATGTAAGAAAAGTCGTTGTTGGCTGGTTAAGTGAGTGAGTGATCTGGATTGGTCTGGGCCATGCCAGGGACAGGGCCAGAGCTTGTCTCTTACCGCCAGATCTCCAAGGAGGGCTGAGTATATGAGTACATGGGATGGTACAACAGCAAACCCTATGTGACGTTATTGATATAATCTGGGACCATATAGATCATTGTTGCAACCAAGGTCCTGTAGTGGCACCCAAATCTTGTATAAAGGGGGTCAAATGGGGTGTCTAAGACAAGGTTATGGTTTACTGGTTATGATTATGCTGTCTATATGTGTGTATCAATTTTGTAGTTTAAGTTATGAATATTGACTCTGTACTTTCTGTATTTCAAACTTATGCTATGCTGCTGGGTGACATCCAGACAAGCTGGTATTAGCTCTGCCTAGACTGCTTGATGGCCCATTAAGGACCATCAGCTATACAATGGACCCACTGAGAGAAGGCAAATATGCCTTCACACTCAGCAAAGTATGCAGGGACTGGCCCATGTGACTCCAGACTCCATTTTGCTGTAATTTTCCACAGTAAGAACAAAGAGGTGTTCTTACACCTGGAAAAGACTAGAAAAGGCTGATGCCTCATCTCCATTTTGTCTTCAATCCTGCTTCTTACCTCTGTAGGGACTTTGCTAAAAGATGAAGCTTTGAATAAAGGACCGAGGACCCATCCCAGCTGGGGATGTATTCCAGAGACTTGATTTGAACCTGCAGTTTATTCTACCTCTGCTGCAAACCTGAACCAAGAACTTTGCCATTACTGTATGTAATTGATTCCATTTAACCAATTCTAACTCTCATCTCTATCTTTTTCCTTTTATGAATAAACCTTTAGATTTTGGATTCTAAAGGATTGGCAACAGTGTGATTTGTGGGTAAGATCTGATTTGTATATTGACCTGGGTCTGGGGCTTGGTCCTTTGGGATCAGGAGAACCTTTTTTCTTTTACTGGGGTATTGGTTTTCATAACCATTTGTCCCCATAACGAGGGACACTGGTGGTGATACTGGGAAACTGGAGTGTCTAAGGGAATTGCTTGTGTAACTTGTGATTAGCCAGTGGGGTGAGACCGAAGTCCTCTTAGTCTGGCTGGTTTGGTTTGCCTTAGAGGTGGAAAAACCCCAGCCTTGGGCTGTAAGTGCCCTGTTTTAAGCAATTTGTCCTGAATTGGCACTCTCAGTTGGGTCCCGCCAGAACTGCATTGTTACACCCTAACTTGGCATTACTGCTCTATCTTTGTGTGGTTTGGAGCATGTGTGTCTTTACTCATTGTGCTAATGAAAGTGGTTAAAGCTTTGCTCTACCCTCAGTGTGAGTGTCTTCCTTGTTTACCCTGGGGTTCCCAATCAGGTACTGAACTCGATAAACCATGACTCTGTTGGGCCTGATTCTGGGCCTAGAGCCCTACAATCCGCACCTCTTACAGCAGAATTAACTGGAAATGGATAATCATCAATAACCACGCAAAGACTCAGGAACACTCCATGCCTTCCTCAGAAAAAGGCAAGATTTGTCAGTACAGACACTCGGCCCCAGCTCTCGATTTCAGCTGGCATCTGGCCCCATAACAGGCTACGCAGTGCACTCGACAGCCCCTTCCATCACTGCTGAGGCAACGCCAGGACTTCTGGCGACCCTGCGTGATGACATTGGGCAGCAGAGTGACAGAGCTAGAGAGCCAGAGAGAACCACAGGCTCTGCCTGTGTCCTGCAGCCCCCATAAAGAATCCCTTTTGTGCTTACACCAGCCTGCGCCTGTCGCTTTCCTGCTAGCGAGACTTGGCTGAACTGAAACCCTGTCTGAACACGGCCAAACTTTGGGGTGTTTGGACCCTGACTTCAGAGTGGGCCTTTCTCTATGGGAAGCCGTGATCAGAGGGCCCAGATCTGAAAAGGAAAAGAAAGGAACCTGCTTTCTTGTTCTTTCCAAGCCCCTTGCTTCCCTGCCAAAGGGACATATCAAATCAGCTCTCTCCAGGCACTGCCTATGTGGCGTAGAGAGAACTCCTGTCTCCACCAGAGGGGCCTGTGGCTCCTTTAAGACTTACATAATGATTAGAACCACAAACTTTGGTGGCTAAGACCCTCTCTCCTT